ATTATAATCATCAGATAAATTGTATTTTGCTTCATAACAGAATTTATACCTGTAATACTAAACAATTATCTGAAAGAGACCAAGTTGAATTAGTGCTTTTTTCTCACAAATAGTCTGAAAGGAAATTCCTGGCTGTATTATCTCTCCAGCGTAAGGTACCATCTAAGCCAAATAAATACCTGAGTCACCCAATTGTCTGTCTACTCACTACAGACCACCCCAAAGAAACATATGGTACATTTTCCCCTTTAGTAAGTTTCTAATCTTATTAGGGACATAAAACATCAGAGATGAGTATATGAAAAATATTAAAAGATGCTTCAAATCCAATTTAAAAATATGATTCAAATAATAACTGAGGAGGACAAAATAAAGATCAATGTTAAGTGTATATCAAGTAGAACTGAACCGAACTGAACCTAACAGTGCTCTATGTTTACATCCAGGGTTGATTTGACCCCCGTACACAGTCAGTATAGATGATCAATTAATATTGCTGGTGTCAGGGAATAAGGGTTTCAGGGCTTCTGATATGCGCAGGGAAAGAACATGACGTACATAAGAGAACTGGACCAGGACAACTGAGTCAGCAATATCAGGAGACATTTTCTCATGGGTATGTCCCATGACAGAAGGTCAAAAACATGGCCCAATGATAAGGCGACAAACTGGAGTTTCAAAGCCAATGAGGGAAATTAAATAAAACCTATTATTAAAAATTATAAAAACCAAGTAACTCAAATAGCTGTCGATTTCCTCACTCTTATCTGTCTCCTTAGCGCCATACCAGGAGAAAACCAGCATAGCCAAAATGAAAATCACTTAGGTAATTATATTCTGAGCAGGAGGTAAAAGTTTTACTTGCCCAGTTTGGCTGAACAATTAGCATATGCCTACACATCTAATTTATAATTTATTCTAAAATGTGGCAAGGCAAGCTTTTCAAATCTTAGGGAAATGATCAGGTAGCACTGACACTTTTAATAACAATGACAGGAATGGGAGAATGAAATACTATGCTTTAATAATGAGTCGGCCTAGTTGTTATTTGTATCAGTCAGTTTGCAGCACTATAACAAAATACCTGACAAAAGCTACTTATAAAGAAGAGATTTATTTAGCTCATTGCTTGGGGGAGGGGCTCAAAGTCCAAATGGCATAGCACAGGTTCTACGGTGAGGGCTGCTCCTTCACTGCATCCCGTTATGTCAAGGATAGCAATGGTGGGAGCATGTGTGATTATACCCCAAGAACAGAAGGAGAAGGGCTTGCTCCATTTATAACAACCCTCTGGTGAGGAGTCAGGAGTGCCTTAAGAACTACCGTCCAAGAGCACACTCCCAATGACCTCATAATCTCTGACTAGGCCCCACTTCTTCAAGGTTCCACCACCTCTCAATAGTACATTGCTGGAACCAGGCCTCCAATCACAACAGACCCTTGGGTGACATTCAAACCATAGCGCTAACAAGTATAAGCTCCTCTAAGACTTCCGTACAAAGTATCCAATCCAGAACCCAGGTACAAAAGTAGTACTTTTTTTCTCATACTGGTAATATGTCACCCCAAAAGTACTTTCTTGTTCTCTTAGACAATTAGTATATGCAAAATAAACTTTAAGGTACATTTTAAAATTTTACTGAAATAATTGCATCGAACAGTTATCTAACTAAAAATCCTTATAAATAAGTTGCTACAGGTAATCATTATGAAAGAGCATAGAATGAAAATTTTCATTTAAGAAGTCACTATTTTCAATCATTATGGAGAGGTATCATATTTCAAAGTGTCACAAATTATTATAAAAGTGATCAAGATACAGTAACTACTAATTCTATTAATGGTGCCCATCATTTCACATAAGGTGAAACATGTTACTAATTAGTTCTTCATTATCTGAGTTGGCTGTTTATGAAATTAGCATAAGAAATAAATTTGTTATCATTTTTGGAAAAGGCCACAGCCTGAGGTTCAGGTTATGATGTTTCTATTACTTTTGACAGGCTATTAAAATTCACACTTATTTCTTATCCTTTCACTGCTGCAATGTGTCAACTGTTTTGGAATATGGCATACAAGAGAAAATTCCAGGCTCAATTGAGTCACTCTAGGTGGAGTGGCTTAAGCTGTAAGAGCACCTGCCTAGCAAGCGTGAGGTCCTGAGTTCAAACCCCCAGTGCCTCCCAAAAAAAGTAAGATTCCAGAAGCATAAGGCTTTCAATACTAGAAGAGAAATCTATTTTGAATAAAATTCAAATACAATACAAAATACAAATACAATACAAATAAAATTCAAATACAATACAAAATACAATAAAATTCAAGATAAAAGGTTGAAACAAACTGCTCATTCTTGCTTCTCATTATTTAAAATAAAATAGTATTAATTACTTTTCTCATTTCCAAAGTAACTCTCTCACTAACGTCATCATTTTGAATCCACATGTAGGATGAAGTTAAATTGAAGTTAATGTGACACAAACATGTATGTTATCCAGTGTCTGTTTTTCCTTTTCCTCAGTTATCCTGTACACTATATCCTCACTCAGTAAGAACTATAATTTAGAAGGTATTAGCATACAACAAAGTCATGTAATGGTAATGTTTCCTATGCACTTACTGCTTGCCATGCACTAAGCTAGACACAGGTTATCTAAAAGTGAGTTTAATCCTCATGCCAGATAATCCTGTGAGGTAATGTACTGGTATTTTTATTTTACATACACATAAGAAAACTGAGGCTTGGCAGAATTAAATGGTCACACATATATTAAGTGGTAAAATCAGGTGACATGATGAAGCGTTTGACAGTAACTATACTTAGGCTCAAGACTGATTTCTCTCCAAAGCTAGAAATACAACTGGTTAGAGACTGTAGAATAGAAGACCTGATCTGCACCAAATTAGCAGACTTTATAATAACGGAAACACTACCCCTCGGTTATTAAAGAGTGAGTAATGGAGCCGGGTGCCCGTGGCGCATGTATGTACTCCTAGCTACTCAGGAAGCAGAGATCGGGAGGACAGAGGTTCAAAGTCAGCCCAGGCAAATAGTTCGCAAGACCCTAGCTTGAAAAACCCTTCACAAAAAAAGGGACTGGTGGAGTGGCTCAGAGGTGTAGGCTCCGAGTTCAAACCCCAGTACCACCAAAAAAAAAAAAAAAAAAAAAGCGAGTAATGGTTAACTCTGCTTTGTACCTTTGACAACATGTGCAAATAAACACATAAGAAACAAGAGTCAAATGGATGATGGAGATAAGGAAAAGTGTGATGAAAAATCTGAAAATTTGCAATGATTCCCAAAGGAGGCACCACTGGCACTTGTGTGCAGATGTGGAAGGGCAATTTAGTCTTTCTTGTACAACATGGTCCCATTGTACCTACAAGTTTACACCATATGACCTAGCCTTTGCCCTTCCCTCCACTAAACACAAGTGTCCTCAATACTTGCGAAAACACACCCAACATACCCCTACTTGACCCCATTTTCCCCTGACCCTGATTGAGAACTATGATGGTTGGATAAAAGTATCAGGAGAGGCCAGATGTGATGGCACATGCCTGTAATTCCAGCACTCGGGAGGCTAAGAGAATCACTAGTTCAAGGCCAGACTGAACTACATAGATATCTGTCAAAAAAAAAAAAAAAAAAAACAAAAAAACCCCAGAGAGGAAGGGACATTAATTGTGCGTGGTACTGCTCTGAGTGCATCCGCACATTATTCATTTAGTCATCATAACCCTGTATGAGGTAAATACAGACCTAATCTCCATTTACAGTGTGAACCTTCATGTTCAGAACATGATTAAGCAACTTAATCAAAAATATCTTGTTTTGAAAACAACAGTCTGCCTCCAAAACTACACTACTCTAGGTTCATCTTTTAAGCCATAATGGTGTGGTAGGCATGACTTCCTTTTCTTTAATGAGCTTGATTCAGAAAATGTAAATGGTAAATAGAAACCAGGATGTGTATGTTCTTATGAACCAGGGATCCATTACTCCCTGGTTCGAGTACAGGGTCTAGAGTCACATAGTGTGAGTGGGTTGGGCAGCTCCCCCAAACAGTTATCTATTACAAGTGCTTAGCACCGGAGTGTACATGTTTTCAAGGGATAAAAGAGTTGTGTTCCCTTATGTGAGGTTTATGTATTTTGTTTAACACATAGAGAGTTCATAGGCACCAGGCACTATTATAACTGCTTGGCACTGTCTCATTTCTGCACGCATGTCAGATGACGACAGGGCAGGGTGTGCCCTGTGTGATGTGTCGTGGGGCTAGTGCCTATACTGCCCAGTGCACAGGTGATGGACATAGGCTGCATTGGATGGGAGAGGTCTGCTGTGAGTGTGTTTCCAGAGCTGGTTTTTATTGTGGTGCAGATGGTAATATCTGAGGCTGGAGAAAAGGTTAAGCTAGACGATTCCTGTGCAACGCGCGCAACGCATGTGGAAGGTGCTGCACGGGAAACACAGTGTTGTACACCTCACATGGGCTGGGCAGTGCTGGATATTGGAGGAGTTTCACAGGCAGGGATCTAGGTTATGTCCCGGGCCTGTGTAAGGTGCCCACAGGCGCTGTGGTGTTTTATGTGTGCAGTGCTGTCTGCTGAAAGTGGTGCATACGAGATGATTCATGCGGTGCGCCTGAAACGCACCGGGGCTGAAGGGGCTGCAGAGCTCGCCCGAGTCATGACGTGGGTAGAGAAGTGCTGAGGGAGGGGGCGGGGGCGGGGGCGGGGGCGGGGGGGGGGCGCTCGATCACACTAGGTGACCCGCATGTGTGGCTGTGGCACTGGATGGAGAGGTTGGGTTGGGGGCTGGGGGGGTAGGCTCGGTGCCAGGTGCAGGAGCTGCGTGGGCGGCGGGTCTGTTGGCTTGAGTGTGAACCAACCAGCCCGCTTCCTCACCCTGGGCCACCCTCCCCGCCACCGCCGCCCTCATGCCTCTTCCCGTTGCCTTCGGGCGCCCCACCTCCCCATTCACTGTGCGGCCTCACCTGGTGAAGGCGAAGTACATGAGGCTGACGATGGTGAAACTGAGCAGAGTGATGGTGTGCGGCCGGTAGAAGAAGTCGATGGTGATGTCCTCCACTTGCTGCTCGTTGATCATCCGGAAATGCATCTTGTAGTTCACATCATCCTTGCTCAGGGTCCGGCTCCCCACGCAGGACGCCATGGCCCGCCTCCCCGTCCTGCCGCGGCGGCGGTGGCCCCGGCCCGCGGAGGCTGGGACCCCGGGGGTGACAAGCCGCAGCAGACGAAAAGGCGGACGGCGGGGCCGGGTCTGGCGCCCAGCAAAGGCTGAGAGCGGAGGGAAGGACAGGCGCGGGAGGGCGGGGTCGCGGCGCCACCAACGCGGCCTGGCGCGGGGGGCGCCGTCGGCCGTCCCCAGCTGGCCTGCGTACAGGGGCATCTTTAGGCACTCATCAAACCTTCGGTCTCCCAGTGAGCGCGGCTGGAGGGACGCCACGGTCGATAGAAAGGCATCTGCGGTCCCCGGCTGGCGCTTTCCCCTGCTCGCAGCGCGCTCTCCCCCCGCGCGGTTGCCAGATGGTCTCGCCCACTCCGGCCGCAGCCCACGTGGGCCCGGGAGCCGTGGGCCCGGGAACCTCGGGTCCGGCGGGCGTAACGCAGAAGTGAGGGGCGGCGCTGGGCCTGGGGTCCCGCGAGCCTGGCTATCCCCGCGGAACACCCCGTGAGGCCCAGGCTTCGCAACAGGTAAAAGCCCGAGCCCCCCAGCGCGTTCCCGGAAGGGTTCGGGTCTAGGCGGCGCCCCGGAGCTTCACGGCCCTTTAGGTCTTCGGGGCCGGGTCGAGGGGGGGTGGTTTTTTTTTGCGTTTCCCGGGCTCGTGTGCTGAAAACGCAGCCGTGCTTGTGTATACGCGACTCTGCGGGACGCAGAGCGAGGCCCAGCATGTCGGCTGGCTTCCTGCGGAAGTTTGATTTGGGGAACTAAAATGCACGGGTTAAAATGGCCTAGGGAGGGCCCTTTATTACGAAGCCACCATGTTAGCCCCACTTTCATCTCCTAAGTTCAGTTATTAGATACAGAGATGGAAGCTTTGAACCGGAAATACATCTATTTCAGTCTTTTAGTCCTCTTCTTAACGAAGTACTAGACGTACAGTTGAGAACTCGTGTAGTGTACTTTAATGGACTAGAAAGGATTTTTTTTTTTCCCCTTGAGAGTGAGTTTCACAGTGCTGCCCAGGCTGGCCCCGAACCGGCGGTCCTCCTGCATCCCTCTTCCGAATGCTGAGATTACAATGTGCACCACCTCGCCCGACTTCAGAGTTTTAAAGGGTGTTTTCTAAAAAGTCATCTCTCTGATAAACGGTCTTGTTAGGAGACTTGCCGTTGGACTTCTCAGGTCCTTTATATACATCTGCAAATGCCTCCCATTTTTGAATGTGTAGGCAAGGGAGTTGACTCTACTTGCCATGGATTAATTTCCATCCACCAGACATTAGGTGGAGATAATGAACAAGTAATCAGTTGTTATGTATAAGACAGTAGTGAAACGGGAATGTAAAGATAGTGCACTTGTAAATAGAAATGGAAGGATACTAAGGTCTTTTTAAGGTCAGATGGAATTTACAAGTGCATCCGCCAGAGTGAATTCGGGGTTTCAGGAATTTGAAGTCCAAAATGTTAAGAGTTAGCTGGGCATGGTGGTACAAGCCTGTGATGGAGGCTGAGCCAGGAAGATAGCAAGTTTAAAAAAAAAAAAAGAGCTGATAGGGACCGGAAAATCTTTTTATTATACCCTAACCTTTACAAAAAATATTTTGGAACTGAGAGTAGCTAGTGCTAGGTCACGTGGCTTTGGGTTTGACCTCCAAATAATGGCAAAAAATAATAATGATAACACTTGAAGAATGATTACATCAAACCACAATCATGGGCTAGACCACCACAAGAAACTTACTGTTGTCAAAGTAGGTTAACTGAAGTCTCCTGGCTCCCATTTTGATGCCCTTATAACTACTATGCAAAGCACCATAAATTTGAGGGAAAACTTTGAGTTTGGAAGCTCATTTTCCACCAAAATGTAACAGAAGTCATCTATCCCACAAGGTTATCATCACCATTCATTTCCTTCCTAACATTACTTCAGAATGAAAGTGAGCTTTCACTTTTATAAACCTCTTTCAGCAAACTTTGCCAAACTACAAATATCCAACAGGAAATTAGACCCTGAAGTATTTGGTCTAATTCAGAGCATTGAACAAGCCACCTTCCACTGTGTAGGAAAAGCACACATTTGTATGCAACAATTAGCTGATAGAATTAAATGCATTTGGTTGTCTAGTCATAATAATAATAATGGCTAATTTGTTGAGCATTTCCCATGTGCCTGACACCATGCTTTGTTTTATATGGATTATTTTATTTAATGTTAAGATTGCAGGCATAAGGTTTACCTTTCTAATTAGCTGATTAAATATAAAATTCCTTCATATTTCTGGAGTTTAAAGTAGCAACAACCTGTCTTGTTGAAAACAAATACTTTTTTGGTTAAATTATTGCTGGTTGCTTACTTGTTTCTGTCACTTTGGGATTTTTTGTTTTGTTTTGTTTTTTGAGGCAGAGTGTCACTATGAAGCCAGTCTGGCTATCAACTTGGAAGCTTTTGCTCCCAAGTGCTCGATTTAGGCATGTACAGCCAGGCCCAGCTTTCTTGCTATTTTGACTTTTTTCCTTTTTTTTTGAAGACTGTTCTTTCTTTTGTTTGTTCTTTGTTTTCTAGTGAAACAGTATTTAACAGTTTGACAATTTCCTTTTGAAAAATAACTTTATCTGTGAAATAACCGATAGTGATCAACTCTGTGGATGAAATAAGAAACAGCTTTCCCTGTTTTATATTGCAATGATAATATTATGATGATTCATGCTGCTGCTTTTGTGACTAATTTATCTATGCAAAATGTATTTGAATAACTCAGTGTTATTTTGATCAGTAATCACTTTCAGTTTTTTTTGGTCAGTGTGCCACCACACTTGGCAGCAATATATTTCTCAAATGTCCTTCAAACCAAATTCCAAGAACATTTCATTGTACCACTGTATTTTCTATTTAAATGGTTAAATTAACAGGTGTAAGCCAGGTGTAGTAGAAGCACACCTGTTAATCCCAGCACTGTGCTACCTAGTGAGACTCTCAAAAAAGAAAAATTAAAATGAATTAACAGCTATAATTTGGACATTTGAAGAGTTTTGGTTTAAATGTTTTTCTTACACCAGTGATTTTGCTTTTTGTTTTTAAATTGTAAGGTATATCTTTCATAAATTGTAAAGCTTATCTTTTTCCAGTTCAGTGTTCCTGTGTTGGTTGGTAGCTGAAAATTCCTTTATAGCTTTTCCTCTATGAGAAACAACTCACTATTTTAGTGATATAAATTTATTTAAACTTCTTTCACTCGACGAATAATTTCCAATTTATCTTTTGTGGTTTGAATACTGTCTTACACATTTAGGTAAATTCAGTTTCTCTTCTTTTGACTGTTGTATTTTTCCTTTGTAGGCTGCTTGAAGAAAAATGGCTCTGTCAGCCCAGCAGATACCCAGATGGTTAAACTCAATTAAATTGAGAAGCTTCATTAATGCCACACAACTCACAGAACATTTTCCAAGACCAGGGAGAGCATTGTTTCATGGTTTTTCTGCCCGGGCTCAGATATCCTCTGACAATTGCTTTCTCCAGTGGGGATTTCAGACTTACAGAACTTCCTCCACATGGAATAGTTCCCAGTCTGCCGACTTAAGTAGGCAAGAGAGTAGTTCTTCCCAAAGCACATTGCTGTCCTCTGAGAGTGAGCAATCAGAGAAGATGCCCAGCTCTGATGCCAAGCTGCCTCTGCAAGGTAATTCTCAACTTTCAGGAAAGTCCCCTTCCCCCATATCCCCACGTTGGTGTTTGAACAAGCTACCTGTTTACATTCTGTTAACCCACTTTGCATTATATTTTCTGTCAGGCAAGGTAAGAAACCATGCTAGGTCTATCCATTTACTTCTATTATACCTTTCTTTTACTAGCAGTTTATTGGTATAATATGTGTAAGATTATATATAAATATAACATATATGTATATATGAACCTTTGCTTTCTACATCATTATTTAGATTATTTAGAAAAAAGTTCCCTTCTGGTATAAATTAAGCTTATTAGGGTATAATTGATGACACATTCTTCTTTTGGGGTATGTAGTTCTATGAATTTTGATGTATAGTTATCACCACCACAGTCATCAAATAGAATAGTTACATAACCCCCAAAAGTTCCCTTGCATTCCTTTTTGGTCAGTGCTCTTCTTCCTGTGCTTCCTAGTCTAGGAATTCAGTATTTCACCCGAAATGGAATAATACTCTGTTAGGGAATATGAAAGAAAGCAAGCTGGATAAGTTGGCAGGGAGAAGAGGTTGGCTATGAAAAAATGAGAAAGGATAGTGAGCAATTAGAGGCAAAAAAATAGATCATAGTCTTGATTCCTTAGCTTAGGATAAGTTAAAGTTCCATGTATCTTCCATATTGCATTTTATTAGGAAAACAAAACCTCAGACTCAAGCCTGTGCTAAAGGGGACTCCCTTAGCAAAGGATTACAGGTGGTAGAACTAGTCATAAAGGTTTGCCTAAATACATTTGAGAGAAACCTGAAAAGGAGGGCATTGGATCAAAAACAGAAGTTTCAGAATGTTATAACTTCAACCCTTGCAATTCAGACTGATAGAATACGTGTACTTTTGGCCAAGTTAGCAAGCTGTGTAGACTCAATCTCAAAATGTGCGCACAGGGCAGTTGATCTTTAACACTCTTAACCTGTTGATGAAAAGAGAAGGAAAAGAGTTTTGTACCTTCCCAAGGTATATGCCTGTAATCCCAGCATTTGAGAGGCTGAGGTAGAAGGATTGTGAGTTCAAGACCTGCATGGAATACATAGTGAGACTATCTCGAAAAAGGATTGTGTGCCTTGAAACTTACCAACAAATTTCTTATCTTGGAGAGATGGTCATTGAGCTCTCTAAATATTAGTCATAACTCTGTCTCTTAAAAGGTAATTTAATTCTGAAATGATGCCAATATTTAACTAGTGAGAGATGCAAACTAGGGAAGAGGTGATCTTTGTAGAATAGTTTTACAAGTATATTGCAGTGCTAACTCGTTTCTCTCTTTCCTCATGGCTGGCTTCCAAGAACTGGATGATTTGCCTCCATTGTCTCCACTGCAGCTAGTTTCTGAGGAGGAGGCTATTCAGATTACTGCAGCCCCACCAGTGCCCCCAGCTTCACACACACTTCGAGACTACGTGGATCATTCCGAGACTCTGCAGAAGTTAGTGCTTCTTGGTAAGCTCTCACCCACAGGTACTTCGTGAGTGTACTCCCATCATTTTGGATGGTTTAAATTAACATTTTAATCTTATCAAAGTATACATGTGAGCACAAGTCTAATAGGGTGACAAGGTCTGTAGTGGAAAACCATATTCTGTGCTTCATTCTTCTTGACTTTTCATCCCATTTCCCTGAGATATCTACTCAACTTTTATCTCTTTCTGTTTGCACCCAACCCCCACATTTTAAAAGCAGTGTTTCATCATCAGTTGGTCTATATGCACATACTTTTCCATATTCTCTTCAGTTTCTTCAGTGTAATAATTGTTAGCTAAATCATTAGTCAGTGATTGAATTGCTAGCTTCTCTAGTAAGAAGTAAAATACTGCTTTCCTTTCTGTATAGCTTTCCACTTCCAGCCACCTGGAAGTTTTACTTGTCTCTAGGGTAGAGTTTTACCACACCTTCCATTAACCTCTTTGGGTGGTTTTTCCGTCAATCCTGTCAAATTATGTTTGCCCCGTTCCCTGACCTGCCTCCTGCAGCCCACTGTCCTGATTTGGGTAGTTTCTCAGCCTGCTAACTGGTAGATTGCACCTGGATCTGGATAGCTAAAGGCAGCACCTGGATCTGGAAAGTTGTACTTGGTCTAATTTGTAATCTAGCACCTTCTTGTAACCTTTTGTTTTTCCCATTACCTCTGGGTTTGGCATTTCTCTTACTTGATTTTCTCAGAAAATGAGCCCCTTTATTCCTGGGAGATTGAGAGCAACCAGATAGGTAAGGGTCTGTTCTCCACGTACAGCCCTACGTAGTCCAGTTTCCAGCCCTACGCAGTCCAGTTTCCAGCCCTAACTCACTTCCAACCTCTTAGCTCTCTAGAGATTCCATTTCTGAGCCATTTAAGTTTTTCTTGGTAGTTTGAGTATCTCTTATTCAAAATGAAGGGTACCAGAAGTATTTTGGCTTTTTTTTTCTTCATATTTTGTAATAATTGCCTAGATTTTACCAGTCTTGCATTGTCATCTGAAAAAATCCAAATTCTAAAACTTTTTGGAACATTTCAGATTTTGCATTTGGGGATTAGAAGTACTCAATCCATTCTAATTTGTTCACCACTTGTCAGAATTCTCATCTGCAGGCATTTCAGTTTCTTCTTTCTCTTCTCTGATAATTCTCTTACCACTCTGTTGAGTTTTTTTTTGTTGTTGTAGTTTTGGTTGTTTATTTATTTGTTTGTCTGAGATGGTATCTGGCTCTGTAGCCCAGGCTGGCCTTGGACTCAGGTTCCTCCTGCCTCCGCCTCCCTAGTGCTGAGATTACAGGCGTGCTGTTACCACTTTTCTGTCTGTTTTCATATATTGTGTTTTGGGGATATAGATAAATCTATATCTTGCACCCAAGAAGCAGCTTATTTTTTCTGTTTTTCACTCCCTGTATTTTGGGGTGCTGATTTTTATGAGTGGCAAAAGAAAACCTTTGCTCTGCTGGAGATTTCTAGAGATTGTACATGATTCTTGCTTTTTCCCCTCATTCCTTTCATCTAATTTAACACCTTTTGCTATGGCTCTGTTCTATGTATCTCAAGTCCATCTACCATCATCCTATAGTCACCATCATTAGGGGCTCATTGTCACTGAATGGCATCTCCTAATTTAATAGTCTTTTTGTCAGCAGTATTGGCTCTGAAAATCTCTGGGATGTTGGTACTTTCTCTAAAATGCAAATCTGATCGTGCCAGTGACCTGCTTGGAATTCTTCAAACCCTTTTCAAGGCCTCAAAGCTCTTCCTGCTTTCCTCCTGCTTATCTTGTCAGCTTCAGTGCTTACTATTTCCCTCCTTTGTTGGCCAACTCTTGACAACTGGAGAAGTTAGCTCAAGCAACTTTGAAATGTTTTCTTTGGCCCTGCAAATAGGGTGGCTCTCCTGAGCTCCTGTTCCCTTTTCTGCTTCCTTGGATCAGAGCACTAATGACAGTGGATGAAAATTGTTTACTCATCTGTCCCTATGCTTAGTTACCCAAATGTTACCCAAGTGTATAGGGAATGGCCTTTGTTCTCAAGAAACTTGAAGAACAAAGACATTCAGAAATGTCTAAACTCACAGTTTGAAGAGTAAATGGAGTGGAGTTCTGGGGCTGTAGCTCAGTAGTAGAATGCATCTTACCATTTGCAAGGCCCTAGGTTTGACCCTGAGCACTTAAAAACTCTATAGGGTGCAATCTCTATGAATTAACTGCTACTTTCTTTGAGGTTTTAATAATTTCCTTAGTTAGAGCATTATTTAAAATGAGTAAAAATGACCCTGTGAATTACTCACCATGCCATCTCTAGGGCGTTAGTACCCAGACAGTATCCAGAGGGAGCCTACACATGTCTGTGTGAGAGCCATGGATACACAAAACCCTCCAGCACCCAAGAAAACAGAAAGTGCACAGCCTTCACCCCTCACACTCTCACCTACCCTTTTCCCCTAGGTAATCCAGGTAGACATACATCAAACACCTGTTGTGCCCCCAGAATACACAATTAAAAACATGCTCTGTAAGTTCAAAGGCAAGAGATGACTCTGCTGTGAGCAGGAGAGCCAGTCACCTTTCCTTTCAGAACATCCTCTGTAGGCTGTGGCAGGTGCTGTGGGTGATGCAAGATAAACCTAAGATATGGCCCCTACCTGTGAGTAATTACAGTGAACTTAGAGGCTTGAAGTGTTTCAGCCATTCCTTCTTCCATACGCTGACACCTCAACAGCATGTCTTAGAAGTGACTTCAGTGAACCATGATTGCTTGTCAGATGTCAGGCAGTGTTTTTGGTTTTGGGGCACTACTGGGGTTTGAACTCAGGGCCTTATACTTGCTAGGCAAGCACTCTACTACTTGAGCCACTCCTCCAACTAGACAATGTTTTTGAGGACCTGAATCCTGGTCCTTCTCTGTTTACTTTTCAGATCTATTTTCTGCCTTTCTCTGCTTATTCTGTATCCCAGGAGGCTAGTCCCTGTGTGTATAAGCTCTGATGCCTGCTGGCTTCTGAGTAGCTTCAGCCAGTGGGAGGCACCCACAGGGTAGAGGATACAAGGGCCAGGTGGGGTGGTTTCTCCTGTTCCCTACCTTCTTTGGGTCCTATAACAGCTGGCTCCATGACAACAGTTCCTCTAGAGCAGCCCCTCCATAATAGCTCGGCTCCCTCTGTACTCTGGTAAACACTTTGGCCTCGTTGTCTCTGGTGCTAGAAGAGCCTGTGTGTGTTCCCTCAACTCTGTTCATAGCACTGTGTTTGAGTTCCTTCATTACAGCTCTTTTATTTGAACTTCGTAGGACAATAAATGTTGCTCACTAGACCCTGACTGATAACTAAATGTGTGTAACTATAAGTGAACATGGGGGGGTAATGGTAATATTTGCATTTACTGAATTGATGAGATAAAGCCCAAGTAAACCAATCACCTAGAGGTTAGATCATGTATTGTTCATTTTATCTTTCCTCAGTGCTTAGCAGAAATGCCTGGTCCATTGTAGGCATTAGTGACTGTTTTTCCTGGTTAATGAAATCCTGTGATTTCAAATCCAAGTGATTTGACTGAGTGATGTGCTCTCCTGGTGAGATTCTGCTCTCCCAGTGCTATTATAAAGCAGCTTTTCAGGATTTCTGTGTTAGCACAGTCAGAGTGTGACAGCTCACACTGAGCATGGCCTTTCAATACTACATGGCTGTAGTATTTAGTTAAACTGAAGTCTGAGTCCTTTACGTTATTTTTAAAGCCTCCTCTTCCATTTATCACAGATTTTTGTACCTGGTTTCCATCCTCTTTATCCATCCATTAGTTATGTTTGCTTTCCTTTTATTATTATTAGTATTATTATTTTTAAATTACAAAAGAATACATCTAGTTGTTAAAAGTGTAAACATTAAATTATTAAATAGATAAGCCTCTTATCCTCTTCCATTTCCCAAAGGTAACCACTATTACTGATTGGTCAAATAGCTTTCCAGGCATTTTCCTAAACAAACATGTATTTATGGAAAGCCATACACGGGCTTTATATTTTTATGCATTTAATTAATGTTTTTAAGTTCTCTGTCTTCTTCTAGTCTAGTTTAGCATTTAGACTCTTTATTTAGTGTTAAGTTTTATATAATGATACCAAGAGAATTATTTTTTGGAAGTATAGTTGGTTCTCCCATTATATTTTAATGAGTAGTCTTGTCTTTTCCTCATTGATTTGAAATGCCATTGTTTGTGCATGGAACATTTTTTTAGTTCATCCCAGGTCTGTTTCTCAACTCCATTCTGTGTGCATATGTGTGTGTGTGTGTGCTTAATCTGTTTTGCTGTTTGTGGCTGTCTTGCATCATTGTATGTTTAATATCAAGAAATTAAATTAATAGCAAACATGATGCCCTGAGTTCAAACCCCAGAGCCACCAAATAAATAAATAAATAAAGTGCCTTCTACCTTTAAAAATAAATGAAATTTGTATTTGGAATTATAGTTGGCTCTGATAATTGGAGTTAGAATGATAAGTTTTTTTTTTTTCCTGACACAGGGCCTTACTGTGTGGCCTAGGCCGACCTCAAACTTGAAATCCTCAGCCTCCCAAGTGCTGGGATTACAGCCATTCACCACGATAATTTATTTTTCTGATTGCAGATACCATTAAGAAAATAATGTTCTTGTTTCATTGCCTTTATATGTAACACTATAAAGTTGCCTCTAGAAATCAGTTTTAGGAGTTATTTTTAAGAAACATTTTTAAGGTTATGAAATTCGAATCTAAACTTAATGTTTTACATTATCTCAGTTTTATTTTAAAGAAAATAGGATAGGCCTTTCCATGCTTTTTTAAATTTTATTTTAATCAGATAAAAGGAGAAAAATGAAGGAATAAGATGCTCGTGTTTCAAGGAGGATTTTGATTCCAGGTTACTTTGAATCCCTGCCTAATTAAAGCTGACATCTAACTATGCATGAAAGCAAAGAGTGCTTTAAACTACACCTTCCTTTCCCCTCTTCCTCCCTCCTGTTTCTCATCTCATCTACCTGGATTACCTAGGGGAAAAGGGTAGGTGAGAGTGAGGGGTGAAGGTTGTGCACTTTCTGTTTTCTTGGGTGCTGGAGGGTTTTGTGTGTCCACGGCTCTCACACAGACATGTGTAGGCACTGTCTGGGTACTAATGCCCCGGAGATGGCATGGTGAGTAATTCACAGGGTCATTTTTACTCATTTTAAATAATGCTGTAACTAAGGAAATGATTAAAACCTCAAAGAAAGCAGCAGTTAATTCATAGAGATTGCACCCTGTAGAATTACTGCAGTTGAGCACTTACTATGGTGGTATTTAGGGGCTCACAAGCATCCTTTAAACTTCCCGGAAGCTATAGACAAAGATGGTGATCTGCTGTTGATATGCTTTAGTGAATTTGTCTTTAGGGGAATTTTGCTACAAATGCTCTTGTTTTCTTCTAGACTTGTCTTTGAAATAAGTACTGTGATTAATTAAATTTGTCTTTATTTCTGAAACCAATTTAGTTTAAAAATATTTAGAAGTTTCTATTTGTCTATCTCAGTTCTCCTTTGAATAGGTCATTCATCAGTAATTTCTTGTGCTTGTATTTTTGGACTGTACTGAATAAGATGTAATTTTCAAACCATATTTACAATTTATTGTAGGAGTGGATTTGTCCAAGATAGAAAAGCATTCAGATGCAGCCAACCTTCTTCTAAGACTGGATTTTGAAAAAGACATTAAACAAATACTCCTGTTTCTGAAGGATTTGGGTTTGGAAGATAACCAACTTGGAACATTCCTGACAAAAAATTATGCCATTTTTTCTGAAGACCTTGAAAATCTAAAGATCAGGTAAGGCTTTTTTTTTTTTGTTTCCTCCTTTGGTGGTATTGGGGTTTGAACTCAGGGCCTCACACTTGAGCCACTCCCCCAGCCTTTTGTTTGTGTGTGTTGAGTATTCAAGATAGGGTCTCACAAACTATTTGCCCAGGTTGCCTTTGAACCATGATCCTCCTGATCTTGGCCTCCCAAGTAGCTAGGATTACAGCACCCAACTCAGGTAGGGCTTTTAGAATGATTCTCACATAACCTAAGAAAAGGTTGTGGAGGAAATGTATGTGTAAGTAATTTTTTATGTCTGTGTTGTGCAAAATCTAGTGAGATTATGAGCATGGATGCTACTTTTTTGTTAAAATCCTTATTTGGTCTAAGTTGAGTGTTTCAAACAGTTCTTTGATTCAGCTCGTCTGTTGTTTTATCCTTTCAAGTTACTGTTGAGGTAGTAGTTAATATTTCTCTTCAGAAACTGGTATACTTTTTCTAAAAACTTCATTAACACATAGCTAAATTAGGGATGGGGTTGTGGCTTAAGTGGTAGAGTACCTGTCTAGCAAATGTGAGGCCCTGAGTTCAAACTCCAGTACTGCCCCCCAAAAAAGGCTGAGTTATCTAAGAGTGTATTTAAAGTCACAAAAGCATAATCTTTAGGTTTTTCTATCTCCCCCGACCAAAAATGAAATTTTTTTCATAGTGAGATGGGGTCTCACTATGAAGTCTAGACTGGCCTTGAACACTATCCTCCTGCCTTGGCCTCCTTACTGCTGGGATTACAGGCATGCGTCACCACACCTGGCTTTCCAATCCAGTTTTTGATAGAAGACATTTGACATTCTGTTGGCGAATTATTGTATAATTTGCTTACTCATTTCCACAAATTGGCTATTTTGGTTGTTCCTTTTTTCTTCTTTAAATAGCACTTTTGTAAACATCTTTGTACGTCATTCGACATTCAAAGAATTATTAAATCTGTGAGAACCCTTACAGTGAGATAAATGTCCCTGTCCTCCAGTTAACACTGGAACTCATCTTCGGCCTTCCTCTCACCAGCAGGCTCTGATTGCTGGGTTCACTGATTGAGAGCTCTGCACTATTCACCCTACTGCCTAAATCAGACGTACTAGTATTAACTCTGGCTTCGCTTCTGTTGGCATCCACGTGTAGCAAATCAAGGCCCGTGAGTTCTACCTTAGCTGTCTTCTCAGACCTCAGTGCATTCTCTTACTCTCCACTTCGTCTTTGCCTCAGGCCCCATCACTTCACACTTAAGATCACCATAGCAGTCTCCTATTCAATCTGCCTGGTCTTTGGCCCCCAGACCATTCCCCACCCTGGTGGGCCACCTACCTACATCTCAGAGAGCTTAGCATTTCCTTGAAACTTTAGAATCTGATGCCTTGCTCCTCAATTAAGGGAGAAAAAAAGAAATAAAAACTACTTTCCTAACACTGCTCGACTTTTGAGGTTTTATATACTGAAGGCACTGGGCAGCAGACATGGAACTACAGTCTTGTGTAATACAGACTGTCGAATACAAGGAGAGAGAGTAATTCTCATGAACTCTCCCATCCAGGTCTGCTTCTCCTAGCTGCCTGGAATACTGATTTCTTCATTCAAAAACCAGCTTGCCTGATTGCTGAAGTTTTATTCCAAGGAAGCTTGAGTACCATGCAATGGGGATCATTTCAAAAACTAACTTTGACTGTTAACTGTCTCACTGCACATAGGATGCACAGAGAGGTTCATAATTGTTCCAAGATTGCATGCAGCATAAGTAGCAGATTTGGGATTCAAGTCCAGTTAGTCCAACTCCACAGTCCTGGCCATTGCACCATAATGTCTGCCTGCATTTATCCTGTGAAGGAAACTTAAACCTTAAAAGAGCATAAATTACTTTTTCAAGGTCACATATGCTCCTAACAACTGAGCAGTATTCTCTAATATAGACAGTATGGCTGACTATTAAATTGAGCTGGGAAACACTTTTTTAATTAGAACTTTCCAATAGCTATTATATCCACATGTACTCAAAAGGATGTACAATGAAAAATAAACTTCTACTCAATAGGCAAGGGTATGTTTAAACACATTTCCTGCATCTGCTGTGTACATCGATCTTATTTTCTAGAATTTCTATGACAGTACCAACTTCATGTGTTCATTTTCTTTGCAATGAAAACATTTTAAAGGTATAAAAAATTTTAATTCTTTGTAAAATTTTCAAGAGAGCTAGGTGCCGGTGGCTCACGCCTACAATCCTAGCTACTCAGGAGGCAGAGAACAGGAGGATCGAAGTTCGAAGCCAGCCCAGACAAATAGTTTGCAAGACCCTACCTCAAAAATACCTAACACAAAAAATTGGGCAGGTAGAGTGGCTCAAGGTGAAAGCCCTGAGTTCAAGCCCCATTACCGCGAAAAAAAAAAAAAAAGTTTTTTAAGAGAATCATCTGCATTTAAATTATTTAAATGTATTTTTGGATGGATGGGACTTACATTTTAGTTTTTATTAGGAAAAATTATCATAGTGTAGACAGCAGTTTTTATAATATTTTAATCAAATCCTGACCCTTGCTGCCAAAAAACCCAAAACAAAATAAAAAGGAAAACAATAAATCTCCTTTCCTCCTACTTACTCCCAATCCTTGGCCTTCCAACACTTACCCGTGATTGTTTCCTCCATTGTTGCCGGAGTTTGTTAGCTGAGATACGGGGATTCTTGAGGCAGTTAGCAGGAAGCAACATTTTATTGTGCCAGCACAGACTCAGCAGACTCATGTCCAAAGACTGAGTCCCAAGAACAAAGGGGTCTCACCTTATATACCCTTGCAAGCAGGTTACAGAAGCAAAAAGCAAGGTCTAATCCATAGATGGATATATTTAATTTTATTGGCTACTTTACCCTAGTGCTATGCGACTTTCCCCTCCCTGGTGCTATGTGACCTTCCTCATGCTTAGATTTCTCAGGTTTTATCTCTCTATGCCATCCCTACCTCACTGCTACTTTCTCGGGACTCAGGCCTAGACTGTTTTCTTCTGATCCTCCTCCCTGCTACATTATTACCCCCTGTTATGCTCAGACCCACTTAGGGTCAAAGAGCATCATCTTAATTTAGGGGTTTGTAGTTTTATAACATCATTACATGTAAGGCCATTTGTCATCTTTTTCTCAAACCCAGTGGTCTCCCGTGTTGGTTCCCCCCCACCCCCAAACATAGCATGAAGTGACATTTAGTGTCTGGGCTATAGACTCAGCCAGTAAGAGGAACAAGTTTTTAGCTTTGGCAGAGATGGAAAATATAAAAGGAGTGAAAAACTTGGTATGAGAAACTCTCATGGGTAAGAGTTACTAATTTGAGGTGTATCAGACTCTCGGTGTCAAGACGCTTTTTAATCTGTTTTTATACTAATTACTTTTTCCTGTGTTAAATCAGATGGCTTAAGTACAGTGAAATTTACAGGGTTACAGGTGCCACAGGTGTAGTTAGGGGCAGCTTTCCCCTTGTGGAGGAGGGCTGCATATTTAGCCCTCTGTTAAACCAAATCAGTAAGAATAAATAGTAATTATGCATCCCGCTCAAAAGAGATAGAAGAGAGCAAATAAAAACTTTTCTCCGTGAGACCAGTCAGCGGGGGTGGTTTCTGCCAAGCCTATGGCAAAGACTAGGGTGAGAACTACAGCAGCAGATACAGACAAGGGGTGACAATGCATTACATTGAAATAACTGGTGTGAAAAACATAACCCGTAAGTCCTGTTAGAGTTGACTCCTCAAGCTTCTGCCGTGTGTAGACTAGTCAGCTTCCAGTGGTAACTAACACAGGGTTGTCCTTGCGTTGTTCTTGGCCCCCTCTTGTTTCCTGGGAAGCAGAGTCCTGCCGGAGGACAGCGCTCAGGTTCTGGAGGGTGATCCTGTAAGGTGAAGCTGGATCAGGGATGCACTCCACTCAAGAGAAGCTGGCTTGACTTGACAGAGGTGGATCCAAGGAGCAATCACTGCTATTTTAACTATGGTGGGAGTAGACAAGATAACAACAAAAGGGCCCCTCCAATGGGGTTTTAATGGTTGGATATTTTATTTTTTTATCCAATGTCTTTTTTTTTTTAACTTAATAGAATTACTATGGCAACAATATACTGTCAGTGTATATGTCCAAGAAAACTCAGTTGTTTAATGATACTCATTAAGTATCAAAGGACATGTTTAGAGTCAGTAAAAATAATTATTTTGTCTCTATTTAAGTAGAAGATCCTGTCTAAAAATTTGAGTTTGTGTCTGGAAGGGCTTTAATGCCAGAGAGCCACACATGCATAAGAACCATTTCTTTAATCTTCTCAGCCTTGGTTATTTTTGAGAGGTCTGGCACCAGTGAATCCATTTGAACTTTGATGGCATTTCCCCCTTGTCTCCAAACTGCTTGTCTCTGAGCAGTCTCTTCTGAAGATCTGTCTTCCATCCAAGTGCTAACCAGGCCTGACCCTGCTCAGCTTTCAAGACCAGACGAGATTGGGCATATTCAGGGTGATATGGCCTTAGACTGAAGATCTTTCTTGATTGGTCATCATCAGGATTTGCTTTTTCCTGGATTTTGTTTGTTTGTTTGGTCTTAATTCCACGTCGGGAGGGAATAACGAGCAGATCAGGTGGGATTCAGTGCCAACTAGACCCTTTTGGCCAAATTTAAGCAACAAAAAGTCTTAGAAGGAGTGGCTCTTAGGCAGTGGGCTTCTAGACAAGGACAATATAAAACAAAATCTAACAGAAGCAGATGTCTAAAAAGCTAACCTAGGTGACACATAGTAGTTATTGGTTTTTTTTTTATGGACTTGATTGGAAGGATCAGAATTTTAATGACAAAAACTTAAGAGTCATGGTTAAAATTCTGATGGACAATTTAGCAACTAACAGAACAGTTTATCAGTACCACTAACTTTTTGTTACCATGCTTATCTAAATTTTATATTTTAGAAGGCTTGATATACTTGAAAAACATAAATATATTTAATACACAGGAACCA